AAATTATTTTGGGATGCAGCAAAATAAAACATGTCTGAGGTGTTTTAGTTTGCTACCTTACAGCTGCGGAGGGAAGCACCGGGCCCCGTGCAGCTCAGGGGCTGTGCAGGCAGCCCATGCAAGCAGGATCCACTGAAGGAAAAAAAGAAAAGTGGTGAGCCTGACCCTTTTTTATTTCTCCCCGGAGCCTGCCTGCCTACCTGAGCTGCATGGGGGCCCAGTGCTTCCCACCTGCCCGGGCTGGGTGTCTGTGGGTGGGCGCCACTGGGGGACACTGCCACTGCTGTGGAGGGAAGCACATGTCCCCCTTCCCCTCCAAAGCTCAGGGACCACTCGGCCTGCTGGCAACTCACCCTCCCCTCCCTGCTGCCGGAGAGGCAGTTAAGGATAAGGCCTGATACTTGTGTACATGCCATGGGGGTTTACTTCACCCTAAATTGAAGCAGTGTTTTTAAAAACCTACCACTTCAATTTAGGGAGAATTAAACTGAAGTAAACCCCCATGGCATATGGAAATGGCCTAAGTTATTAGCTTTGTATTAATTGATTTGAGTATCTTTTAAGTATAAATAGTTATCAACTGTTACTCTTATATAGACTCATCCTTGTGCAAGATAAATATAAAGTTTCAAACTTTTGATATTATTTACTGTTTGTTTTCATATAGTAATTTCCTCCTATATATAATTAAATTCTGTATATAGTTATTTATGAGTCTGCAAGGTCTTTCCATTGTAAAGGAAGCCTTTCCTCTCAGGGAACCTCTGGCTGCTCCTAGGTGAGCTGAGCAAGGTGTAGAGCTACCTGGCACCCCACGTGCTGAACATTTGGACACAGCTGCGGTTAGCACCACACAACAAGGGTTACTTACATATTTAATTACTAAATAGTATAGCGCTAAGCAATGATTCATGCAAGAACCAGCCTTCTCTGAAACCAGTTTGCTCTTCTCCCAAAATATTATTTTTAGAAATCAGTGTCCAGGGCTAAAAAAGATGTCTCCCAAATATTTTGGTAGGAATATACATTAGACTAATAGGGCAGCATGACACAGGATCTCTCTTATCAACATTTTTAAAAATTGGGTTATATTTTAATTCCAATGCATTGGATGGATATATGCCTTCTAAAACAATGATATTAAAGATTTTAGTCAAAATTGGACACCACCAAGGAATGAATTCCTTGAAAATTTCTCGGGAAAGAAAATCAAAGCTAGGGGCCTTTCCACATTTCAGTAAGGATATATATGATTTTAGTTGAGATTGAGTGGTGAGATGATGATCTGCTTGTAGATTAACAGATAAAATTTCCTTCACTGAAAAGCCACCATTTCCTTCACCATCTACGAGTAATTTGTTAAACTTATTTTTAAAAAATAAGATGCATCTTCAGGAATATATGCATCAGAAATTAAGCTAATTTTTGTCACTTTTGTCTACAATTTGCTAAAAATGTCAATTATTGTTATTTTTCCCTGTGGCTACCTGTTCTTCTCATAGGTTCATTTGATGTAGTTTCTTCTTGCTATTAATTTCATAGTCTATTTTAATCTTCTTGACCTGTTGGAAGCTAGCACACTCATTTTTAGACTTGTATTCCTCCAAAGTATCTGTTAAATCATCTTTACTTTTAGAGCAGTTCTTGTAAAACCATGGGTTGTGCTACTGACTGCCTATTCACAAAAAAGACAAGCTCTTTTTTTGGAAGGTGTTTTCCAACTGCTGGACAACTGCTTCATACTACTTGTTCTTGTACTTTAAGAATATGAGACAAGTAACCTGAGAAAGTATGTTTAACTAGAGCAACACATTCATCTTGTAACTCGTTATTCCATTGAATTTTATTTTAATGGGCTACTTCTAATTTGGGGGCTAGCTGTATTGTTTTTGGGGAAGGCTGCCCATAAGAATCTAATGGAATTTTTAGAGAGAGGGGGAAGCAGTCACCTTCCACAAATGATAAAATTTCAAATTATTTATACTTACACCACAGATGTGGTTCTATTAAAATATAATCTATCACACTTACCCCTTGAGTTGTGAATGTCCCAGGTACATCTTTACCAGTTCATCTGTTAAGCATTCTAAGATTCTCTTCTGCAATGAATTTCAAAATGCATTGCCCTCCTTCATTTAGTTTCTTATCGCATAAGGTTGCTGGGGAGATGCCCCATATTTCATCTATGACATTTTCATTATCATGGGAGTCGGTGCCACCAATTCTAGCATTAAAATCTCCTCCTGTTATTATTTCTAATTCAGGAAATTTATTTCAGATCAGCTCAAGAGCATTATATAACAATTCCCGTTTCAAGATAGCATCAGGTCTTAATGTGAATGGTGGGAAATAAACATTAATAAGAATCAAGGGAGCGCTACCATGAAATGTAATGAGGACTGCTAGTAAATGGTGAGAGTCTATTTCAGTTTCTAATCCCTCAGTCAGACTCAGCCATGCAATGAACTGACTTACCCTTGAGGCTTGTAACTTTGCAGACTATTATCCTCATCCCCAATAATTTCCAAATTCTCTTTTTACTTTAGTAAGTCAATAGCAACAATAGCCTAGCACTCTCACATTTAGACTTCAGGCCAGACTGCTGCACTTGAGTCTCTCTCTAGCAATATCTGTAAAGACTATATTCTTTTAGTTTTAGAGGTTGTTTGTTCCATCCCTGGTGTTGGCTAATGTAATGAGACTCATACTTGCACGGCACAGAAATGGGTCACATCGACACTGAGAAATGTTTTTGATTTCTGAGAGTTCAGGTGTTCGCATTAATATCAGCTGTTTGTTTGGAAGCTTTGATGTATGCACAGAACATAGCAGGAGTAGGTGGAGTAGGAATCTACTGGCTCCAATCATGCTTTGTAGACACGTCCCAGGAAGTTACAATACTCCCTGTTAGGCTCAACATTGTCAGCCTCTCTCTCTCAGACACACATATGAAAGCACTCAGTTCATCTCATGTTGAAGTATGCTGCAGACATTCAGCTACTTGTCACTTTCTACAACAGTGCAGACAATCACTGAATTGTACCAGTGCTGAGGACTCCCTGTATTTTTGCAACTAGTACTGTGGTAGTTTTAATGACAAGGACATGAGCAGGGCAAATTAGCTTGGCTTGAGCTCCACACTAGCAGAGTTATTGCCACCGCAGCACTACCCTGCATTAAACAACATTATTATATGCTTTGAAGGGTCAAGATCTCAGTTCTAGGTCTCATCCAAGAAAGATAATCTCCAACAGTACCCCCACAACTTCTTTCTGTTGTATACTAGAGAAAAGTACTGGCTGAAAGCAGTTATGTGGCAAGCAAATAGCTTTTACTTGCTTGAAATGAATGAAAACAGGAGTAATATTAGTTAGTGAAATCACATGTGCAAGTAACTTCTTGTGTGGTGAATCACTAGATTGTTGTGCTTTTCTTACTTCATATGTACTGTAAAATGCTAATGAAAAAAGAAAAAAGTCCTTAACATGCAAATTATAACCATGGCTGTACTTGAAAGATTTCTAAGAAATCTCTCAGAATGTAATTTGGAATAATGATGTATTTTTTTTTAATTAGGTAATATTTAAATATAGGGGTTCCAATATTTAGGTGCTATTCAGTGGCACATACAGATTTCTAGAGGTGCACTGATGCATCGGTCTGATATCAGCTCAGCACCGGTGTAAAGAAAATTGACTGTATCGGAAATCGGCTTTTTTGCCTGATGTGGCTGATTATTTGGTCAATAAATGCCCCTTGAATGCGCATAGTCACAGCACAGCATATAGACAGCCTGGTAGCTTGGAGAGCTGTGTCCAGCTGGTAAGTCTGTTGTGGTGGAAGGGGAAGGGGGAGGGAAGGGGCATGGGGGGGATGCAGATTGAGACCCCTGGGGTGAGCAAGGGAGTAGGGCTGCCCAGTCGGGGTGGGACATGGAACGCAGCTGTGGCTTGTTTGGGGCTGTGGGGGCATGGCTACCACTGCTGCATGTACCCTGGGAAGGCATGGGGGCACATTCCCCCAGATCTGCACAGGGCAGGGCGGGCTCCTGCTGCAGGCTGGGGTCAGGGCTGCACCAGGCTCTTCCCAGCAGGGGGTTTGGGATGGGCTGGGCTGTGCTCATGGTGGAGAGTGGTGTGACTATTTTGGGGTCGCTGCAGCCCTCCCCCCATACCTCCCTCCCAATGTCACTACTGCCTGCCCTGAGCACAGCCTGGCCCAGGCCCCCCCTGCCAGGAAGAGCCCAACACAGCCCCAGCCCCAACCCACAAAGGCAGCTTGCCTTGCCTAGCCTTGCCGTGCACAGATCTGGGAACATGCCCCCTCCCATACTCTCCTGTACGGAGCAAGAAGGGAGATGGCTAGATACACCAAATGAGGTCATGGAAATCTCTGTTTCTTCTTCTCAGGCTCAGAATGGTACTTCAGTTGCCTTTCCTCCAGGAAGGTGGAGAGCTGATGTTTCTCTTTTCCTTTCTTGTGGAGAACGTGGGCTTCTCGTTCCCTCCTCTACACCAGAAAAGGACCCCATAGGCAGCAGAGGAAGAGCATTCCTCTTCAGTGGGTGTCAGAGGTCCTCCTGATCAGTTCCTGGTGAACTAAGTTTCATCAGTTCCAGGATTGAGTATTTATCTACCAAATATCATTTGACTTGTGGTAATATTTTATCGCTGTGTATATTTGGTATTCTCTAATTGCTGCCTTGAACTTTTCTGCAGTAATTCCATTTAATTGCCACGTTAAGGGTTTAGGCCTAGTTTCAGTAAAGAGCTGATAATTATGGAAAACTTTTTCAGTAGTTTCATTTAACTAGTAGGACTTAAATGCGCAAATTCTGCATATGCTCGAATGTCAGGCTAAAACAAGACCTTAAGATAGAGGCAGGATCTTATAGGAGGCTTGTGTAAATAAGATGAATTTTATTCTTTAAGAGCCTCAGGCATGGTTTTATCTAGCTGTACTTCAACTGTAGTTAATGAATGAGCATTTCTTTTGAACAGACCTTCCTTGCTTGGAGCAGAAGAAACGAATGAATAAGAGAGCATGCTGTCTCCTTGCTCCTCCCCCACCACCATTATTTCCACCACCATATTTCAAGCACAGCTGGAATCCTGTAAGTAGTACTTGGGTGAATTTTTCTTGACTCCACTATTTTTAAAAAATACTAGTATATCTTTACTTAGCAGTGCCTGGTTGTTTATAATACAGCGGTCCCATCTTGCTACATAACAAGCCTGCAGCAAGTGTAACAGGTTTGTGTAGATATTAATTCAAGCTCATGTTATTTGGGTGTGAGTCCTCAGATTTAAGTGTGGGATGTGATGAGAGATTGATGAAGGTCTCTTACTGTGACTCCACAGACATGAGTTTGAGTCCTGCTCTGCACTTGTGCAGCTGCACTTCAGTCAACACAGCTGTCAGTAGGTAACTGGCTGTTTGGGCTGAGTATTCAAAGGCAGCTGAATGTGTTGCTAGCCACATCACTGACCACTGCCTACAGAAATTCTCATGCTGTACCAGCTGGATGCAGCTCTAGCACAGCACCCTAGCTTGACCCACACAATGCATGGCCCAACTCTGAACTTTTTTTGACTATGGATTTAAGTAACAGAGACAAATTTGTCCTCGTATTGTCAATAACTTGATTAACTCATAGTGTTCTCCCTATTTCATTTCCATTAGCTTTAATTCTGAATTCCAGTCCCATCTCCTTTATTCCTATATTCAAAAACTGTGGCTCTTCAGAGGATGTACTTAATATGGAATTCCTCATTTTCAGTTGTCTGTCTTTGTGCATAGTTAATCCATCCCATGTATATATATGCATGCATGTGTGTATATAATATATATAATTATGTGAGTGTATGTACATGCACATAGACTATATACACATATCCATATTGATATCAAGCAGGTAATGATTTGATTATAGAATCTATTTTTTATATATAGTATACAAGTGTGTGTATATATGAATACAAATACACACACACAAATATAAAGAATCTGTAAAGAATCAAATCATTATGCTTATCTATATGTGTATGCAGTATATACACCTATAGATGGCATATGTGTGCGTAAGTACCTATATATTTATATTTACCACAAACATCCCTTGGTTCCAATACATTCTCTACCCAAGAGAGCATTTTGCTGTTGGTCTCTCTTTAATTTCTCTTTGTAATGTTACACAACTAATTAATTTTTCTTTGGTGTCCTAGGAAGATTATTTTATTTTATGTTATGTTATGAAATTATGTTATTAGTGCCAATTATTATTTCTTAGTCAGCTGTAGTACTTCAGAAGTTACTAGTCAAACTCAACTGTAGTTGAGGATGCCTGAAGAGTGCCTTTATTCTTTCTATTAAATAATTCTATAAAGCAAGCTAATTGCTATATTGATATAAGACTCATTAAATGATATGAGCCTCATTGGCACCAAATTCTACAATGTGGGATTTTCCATAGGAATACAGCATATTTTCTGTACTAAATACTTAGATGAGTAATGGATATTCAGTTTTTGAAGCAAAGGCTAGTTTTGTTAATCCCATTATTCTGGATCTTTCTTCTTCTTTTCAGTATCAATATTCTTATGCCACCAGGCAGTTTACCAATGCAAGTAGTGGGAACCCAGCTCTAATACTGAACTTAAGATTTTGTGACTGATTCTCTAGGTTTCCTTATTCATGTGTTAATGTAGCAGATTCTGTGCTGGGCACTACCATGATTACAACCTCTGCTCATCTAGGACCTGACCCAACATTCCCTTCAGTTACTGACAGACATTTCACTGACTTGAAAAGGAGTTGGATCTGGCCTGTAATGAATGACTCTCCACTTGTTAAGTATCATTAGACTGAACTTCCCTCAGTCTCTAACACTATCTAATATAGTTTGTATTATCAGAGCAAAGAAGCTATTTCTGTAGAGGTGCTGCTATCCATAAATTTGCCTTCAGGGAACAAAATCAAGTTTAAGAATAGATTTGGATCCTACACTGTCTTAGAAGGACAATGTAGTGGTGCTGAAATACAGATATGAGAGCTCTAGTACAAGGGAAGATAATATGAGGGATAATGAAAAGGGTTGGGGTGATAATTAGTAAGTATTGGTTAAGAAGACTGATAAACCACAAGCCTCCTTGTAACTGAGTCATATAAATTCTCTACAGGCCCATAGAGTTGCTGATCGTTTGTGTCTCCCTGCGTGATGTGTACTAATGCATGTATGGATATATATATATTTTTTATTTAGAAACAGCTGGACCTTGATTTGAAAAACTTTGTTCAAGAACTTCAGATAACACAAGCTTCATGTGTACCAGAATCCGATTGCCCCTTAGGGCCTCCTGGCCCCCAGGTGAGTACTGCATCTAGGAGCAATGTGTAGGGGGTGCACGTGGGTGCATGTGCACCCCCTAAGTGTGGCAGTGCACCCCCTACAAAAAGGCACCAACGACACTGTTGGTGGCGCCTGCAAGCAATCACCACTGGCCCTGCTGCTGACACCACCGGTGGCGTCTGCAGGAGCTCCCACTTGCCAACACCGTGCTACTGCTGCCGTGCCCCCCCAGCCACCAAAGGCACTCGTCGTTCATGGCTGCATCTTTGACGAAACCATATCACACCCTTTTGTGTTCTTTATAAAATGATCGGCCCTTTTGGAAATGGCCTTCACCTTCTAACAATATCTAAAACTTCAGTTTAAATTTCTTATTTTGTATAAATAATATTTGTTGTCTTCCCTGCCTATGCCTTATATCAGGAGTAGGCAATGTTTTTTGGCTGGAGTGCCAAAAAAACCACATCAACCTTGGAAGGTGCTGGAGTGCTGGCATGCCAGAAAAACAAAATGAGGGCAGGGGGTGGGAGGGTACATGCCAGGACATAGTGAATATTAACATATTTAATAATCATAAATGTTGCCTTTGTTGTTGTGTATTCCTTTTTGGTTGAACATGTTGCAATGAGAGAGAGAAAGAGAAAGAAAAAGAAAAAGGAGAGCAGAGAGAGAACCAGACACACGCACACAGAGAACCAGACCACACTCAGAACAGACACATGCGCACAAACATCCAGAACCAGACGTGTGTGCACACAGACACACAGAACAAGACAGAGACAGACAAACGTACAGAACCAGATGTGCAGGCGCACGGAGCCGGGCTCCTGGGCCACTTGACAGAGTCCAACTCAGCAATGCCCTGGTCCCGCCAGAGCCCCTGTGCTTCCCTGGGGAGCCAGCCTCCGGGCTGCACTGCAGCTGGCCAAGGTCCCGGCCCGGAGCCTGCCCATCAGCTCAACCACCCACCCACCCCACACAGCTAAGCCCACAAAAGGTGCGGTGCTCCTGGCAAGGGGCAGCACCAGCCTCATCCTGGTGGGGGGCTGGGTCAGGGCTGGGTCAGAACAGGTGGGAGTCAGGTAGACTCAGCTGGAAGCCCTGCTGCAAGCAGCCCAGGCTCCGTGGTTGGCAGCAGCTACCAGAGCCTGGGCCACAAACAGCTGCTTTGGGCTCTGGCATCAGCTCCATACTGGCAGGTTCATGTGCTCCTTGGAGCGGATGGTGGGGATAGGGCTTGAGGCAGCATAGCCCTCCCGCTGTTGGCTCTGAGGCACACATGCAGTTGCCACCAGCATGGAGCTGATGCCGGGGCTGTGGAGCCCAGCGCAGCTGTTTGCAGCCTGCCCACTGCCTGCTGCAGATGCCCCAGGCTGGCTACAAACTGCTGTGCCGGGCTCCGGAGCCCCGTCATCAGCAGTGTGCCAGCAGCGGGGAAGAGGCCGGGGTTGCACTGTCTCAGGCCCCTCCTGCACTGTCTGCTCCGAGGTGTGTGCGCACCCACCAGTCTGGAGCTGATGCCAGAGCCCAGAGCAGATGTTTGCAGCCTCCTGGCTGCAACTGGCCCAGGCTCTGGGTAGCTGCTGCGAACCACAAAGCCCGGGCTGCTTGCAGCTGCCTGCTAGGAGCAGCCTGGGCTTCATGACTGGCAGCAGCTGCCTAGAGCCCAGGCTGGCAGTGGTGTGCCAAGCAAAGTGGCTTCCTGTGCCATGCTCGGCACAAGTGCTGGGGGTTGCTGACCCCTGCCTTATATCCTCCAAGTAAAATATCATGTTAACACTCCATTTTCATCTGCTTTAAACCAGTGTAAAACCTTGAATCATGTAACACCAATTTAAATCCCAATATTTCAATTCTACAATTTATTTTGATTAGGTTTTTTTTATATTGATATCTGCTGTTTTCTACCGGAACATCAAGAGCTCTAGGAATTAATACGATAATAGATCTATTTCTCTGTCTATAAAGCTGTTTGCCAACCAGAAAGAGTAGGAACTAGGCAAAAATGTTCAGCTGGAAGTTCCACTACATAATCTATCCATCTGTCTACCCAATGTCTCTCTAGAGCAGAGGTGTCAAAGATGTGGCCTGTGCCCCATCATCCAGCCCCCAATGCTGCCCCAAGTCTGAGCTGACCCACACATTGCTCAGTCCACTGCAGGTCCAGGTGGGTTTTGTCACCCCTGCTCTAGAGAACTGCTCTGAGTGCTTTGGGAAGGTGGTAGAGTGGGAAGCAGTGGGCACGACATGATAGACAGGTAGTGTCTTAGGAGACTTACTAGGGATCACTGAAAATTACAAATTTGAAAAGTTCCCAAACAGAATTTTTAAAGCAAAGAGAGCACATTGAAATATGAGCTTTGTTCAAGAGTGTGACAATTACCACTTCATAATATACTAGTAAATATTCTGTAATACATATTGTAAAAGTAATCAAGTCTTACATTATGAGGCCATAATATGGCATCCTTCTGTCATATCTTTGCTGAAAGCTGTGGCGAGGCAGACAGATTTTGTGAATGGGGTGTAGAGATCAGTGATGTAGAGAAGATCCTGGTGCTCCTGCACTGCATTCAGCAGTGTTTTATGTCTGCTGTTATATATGACACAGAGGATTTATAAAGTGGTAATACGTATGAAACACAGCAATGTCTGTCTAACAACAGTCTGTAAAGAATCAAATTGTTATCCTCTTGATATCAATTCTTTATTTAACTAAAAGAGCAATAATGAGGAATGAGATGATCTCCAAAGTCCAGTGACAAAAGAGTATTAATGCAGCAATGTTTTCTGATTATTTTCTTTTTTCCAAGGACACGTGAAAACTATTTAACCAGCAGGTCTTATCAAGATCATATGCAGGAGAAACTGAGTAGCAAGTCCCCTGGCTTTTTTAATTATAAACCACAGGAATGTATTTTAGAAGGGGCTTATGGCTCCAAAGCTTAGAGTGGAAATTCTCTGGGCAGTATCATTTCAGCTGCTGGCACATGACAAGGAAATACTAGTAAAAAAACCCGCTAAGGTGGTAGCTCCAAAGCTTTTTTTTAATTTGCAACTTGCATGACCTTGACATGAGTCAAACAAAATGGCTTTCTGCAGGGGTGGAGCTGAGTTTTACTTTTTCATTTTACCTCAGATCTACACATGGGTGGCTAATTTACAATCTGAGTTACAGCACTGCAAATCTAAAATTACTCCATTGTTTCTATGTAATAATAACATAATTGCATTCAATGGTGTAACTTACAGTGGTTTGCAAATCAAGATAGAATCCAATTAATTCAGCATTGTTTAGTTTACATTGCATTTTGGATTGTACAGATTTTATCTGAGACACATGGGCACTGAAGTTAGTAATTTATGCTCTGGGGTTAGTCTTTCTTACTATACAGGCATATGAGATCCTTTATCCTTATTTTTGCATACCTGCCATCTGCTATATGCTAAAGTCCAAACTTTGTTTTTCAGAATTTTTCTGACTCGGGGTTCAAAATCCAACCTGGTTTAGTAGTTTTCAGAAAGGAAAATAATTCCCTCATCCTGTGCTGTTGCTCTGTGAACAGGGGTGCTCAATCCCTAGCCCATATCCAAATCTGGCCTACAGCACTCCCCATGGGTCAGGAAATTTGGTGGTGGGGAAGCAGTGGCAATTAATATTGCCACTCCTCCCCTGCTGCCAAATTCTCAAGGCCTGCAGAGCTTGATTGGGTTAAGGCCATGCTCCCCTCCCCTATGCAGCTGGATCAGGGTTAGACCATGCCCCTTCCTCTCTGCCATACTGGACTGGGTCTGAGCAATGCCCCCCCTCCCCACAGGGCCGTGTTGGGGCTGGGCAACAGCCTCCCCCCCTTCATAGTTGGATCAGGGCCAAGCTGCTGCCTGACACCCTGGCTGGATCAGGCCCTCCAGCTAGATCTGCCCCCTGGACAGACTGAACATTGCCCATCTGGCCCACAGGGCAAAAAGGTTGTGCACTGCTCTGTTAATATATGAGTAAATATATATTGACAACTGTATATATTGACAAATGGGCAGAGCAAAAGGGAAGGAAAACAGCTAATTGTGATATTTATATTCTAAATATAATTTTACATCTTTCAATGTTCTGCCTAGGGCCCTCAAGGTATTCCTGGTATAATGGGACCAAAAGGAGAAAAAGTAAGTAGATGTTTCAGCATTAGCGCGTGTGTGGTGTGGAAAGGATGAGTGCTCTGGATCTTGTTTTGATGTGAGGGATGCTTTTTGGGTAGGCAGGAGTTTACTTTAGCCATAGCTGGAAGCACTAGATCAGTTCCCAGGCTGTGATTTAAAGCTTCATCTCTAACTATTCTGTCTCATTGTGGATATGCTACACAGCTTTTCATGATACTATTTTCCATATTTACAAAATATTTTAGGAAAAGCTGGTTGGTGGATGGGATTATCCAAAGCCCTTAAGCAGCTGAGGAGCACAGGTCCCGCTTAGATTCAATGAACCTCTATTGTGTAGCAACTTGGGAAAATCATAGCACATGGGAGGGAATAGGAAACACAGCCACCATATGCAACATACTAATATGTATGTCAATTTGGGTAGAACATTCTGTTTGTATATTAAACTTTGTGGCTTAGCAAAATGCCTAAGTGCCTGCTTAAATCCGTACACATTCAACAAGACATTGACATACATACCTAAAGGTAAACGTGTTTAGATGCTCTACTGCATAAGAAAAGACTGTTCAACTGGGGCCCATGCCCTCAGTGAGGAGGCCATTTTTCTGTTATGTGCATCCTGCCCAGTTTAGCTTGTAAAACAAAGTCATGGACACACAGATGCATCCAACAAAAAATGTATCTGCTATGTTTCATGTGGCATCTGCACTCCTAATACGTTTCTTTCATTGACAGGGGGAGATTGGCAGACCAGGAAGAAAGGTATGAACTACAGTGCTTTCTTAGGCACCGATACTATAATTGCTATGCAGCAGCTGTTAGGAATAAACCCAACAAATAGCTAAATAACATCTATTTAAATAAAGCTGGAGGTTAACCCATGCCCCTGTCTATGCCTACACTGGTGGCAGACCTGTGCAGTATGGAAACTTGGGTCATACCCTGCCATCATTCCATGCACTGAAATCCTGTTGGAGTCCTTTCATATACTACATAAAAATGGATGGTAAGATATACGTCTCTGTAATGTGTTAAAAAAGAGTGGAGGGTAACCTCAACTAGATCTTTATATCCAATGAGAGTAGTTTTTAGGACCTAAGCATAAAAAAACCCTTCCATATCAAAACTAAAATCCTAACTGATCCACAGTAGAATATAAGTCTAAGTTGGCCACTCTGTAAGACCTGTGCTCAATTAAATGAATGTAACAGTGAAAAAGAAATAATCATTAAGAACTACAGTTGAGGGGTTCTGGCACCACACAATATGCTGACTACACTCTCATAGTTGGTGACATGTGAGCCATGATGTATTGCCAAAAGAATGTGCCCCTGTGTGTCTTGTTACAAAATATTTCATCTCTATGGCTAAGTGCTTTCATTTAATGTAATTAGTTTTCAAAAGAAGCCAAAAGATCCTCTGCAGGATGAAATCAGAGCTATGCAGAGGATAAGTCAGTCACCAGAAAAAGAGATAACATTTTAACACTAAGCACAAATCAGCAATTCAAATTCATTCAAAACCATGTGAACGTATGAGCTAATTATGATTATTATTTATTTAGATTGCAAATGACAAACAGAGGAGAGATAAATTACCTATGTAGATCTGAGTGTCCAGAACAGTACTACTTCAGAGATAGTCATTTGTCGTCGTACATGAAAATGGGGCTGAGCATCTTAGACACTGGAATGCTTACTCTTCTGATTTAAAAAAAACAGGTACCAAAGACAAATGGGTCCAAATCCACAGTACAACTTCTATTGATTTCTATGCAAGTTGACTCGTTTATTTTGAGGGTAACTTTTCACCCCTGTTGTCTTTACCAGTTGTCTAAAGCCAACTCCTCCTAAATCAGTGGAGTTATCTTAATTTATACCAGCTGAGGAGATGGTTCTACAGCTCTTAGGAAGGAGGAGAATATTACTTATAGTATTTATTAGACTAATATTTGAAAAAGAAGTTAAAGGAATCTATAGGGATGCATGTTACTGAATATAATGTCTGATTCTATTTTCACAGTATATTGAGTGCATACAATATTGATGTAACTACAAGGAGTTACTTCCAACTTACACTGAACTGAAAGAAGAATTTGATCCTGCTTTTAAGCATAAACATTTTACATTGCATATAGACTTCTTCTATTGCTGATCTGCCTATCTGAATCAGCATATATCCCTGTGTTTCTGAGAGTCCAAGATTTCCCCCTATGAGACTCAAAAGAAAGCATATTGCCTTTTGGATTAAAAAAAGCCAAAATAATGAATCACCTTCTTTCTGGAAGATAATGTAACTGGTCTCAGAAAACTCTTTTCCATGCATCTTCAATGTGATGGAGCTTTTTGTAGTGGAACAATGTTAAATCCATCATAATACAATACTCGATCATTTCCTTTTAAGGGTAGACCAGGTCCTCCAGGTGTCCCTGGAATGCCAGGACCAATTGGATGGCCTGGGCCAATAGGACCTAAGGTAAGATTTAAACACTTTTACCACGTTGAGTTTGTATAGTGAACGGGGCAAAATCTTCAAGGTCTTCAGGAATTATAACAGGTTAAATTGCTAAATCAAATTAAAAGGAGACTTACCATTGACCATATCTACTTGAGTACAAGATGAGGGTTTTTTTCCCTGTTGTCTTATATTTGCATACTGGGAAACCTCATAAAATATATTGCCTATCATTAAACTGCTGCCAAAAGCACCATGTGCTTGGTAATGGAAACCAATTATGAAGATGATTAAATGAAGCCAACACTGATCATGACTATAAAACATAAGGCCCATGTTGTACAAACATGCTGGTCTGTATAAGATTTATGGTAGTGTTCACTGAGTGCAGTCCCCCTCAGCGATGACTCTTTTTTTAAGTCATAGTGAACCACTATGTCGTATACATTTTGACTTCCTCTTCATTCCCCAGTTGGGCTGAATCTTTCTTTCCCATTTCCAATTATTCCTGTTTCTTCACTAGCCATAAATATCTGGCAAACATTAACAACCAGGGCCTCAAACATTTAACTCAGAATCCCTTTGTCGCCCCCTCTCTCAGCCCGTCACATATTACTAGTGTGTCCGCATACTCCAGGAGGTAGAGCCAGAGCAGGTTGCATATCATCTGCATATAATTTTCTGGAGGATCCCAGGACCTGAGAGAAGATTTATGGTAGTGTTCCAGTCATACATGAGGGCTAATTAGCAGATGGATCTATTATGAGGGATATCTGGAGTACACACACATATTGAGCAGTGCTCAGCTATGGAGTCACCCTGGCTTGAAATGTTGTTGGCTGCTCTGGCCCAGACCAATGAATCATATGATAAATCATGAGCCTTTTGGTTTTGGACTATCATCACACACAGTTTGTAATATATATACATAAGTACAAAAGTGCCGCTTAAAAGTGTTTATGGAATACCTCTGCTAAGACTTGTAGCAGGTTCAAAAAAGGTAAAATGCAGCAATTCAGGATGAAGTAAGTTTATAGGTACTATATGCAAATTACTACCGGTATGTTTGTTTCAAGGTCCATGT